CGCAATCATATGTTAAAGGGAATGTTTATTCAAATAAGTACAATCAATTTCTTTTTATTTTTAATTATCTTATATTTATTTAATCATATATGATTGTAAGGAAATCGTATCTTCAATTTCTACATGTATTAAGTAATAACGATTCTTTAAGTTGATAATGCAAAAAGACAATATATAATATACTCCAGAATTTAGAATTTACTTAAAATTTATCCACATTCATTAAACAGAAATTTGTACATAAGCGACAATTAAAATTTGAATATTCTTTCCGTAAAATCTCTACTTAAACACATTGGGTTAGACTAGAACGAATTTTGAGTACAACCACGGAAGATTAATGCTAGGTAACTACCTATCCTACCAAGTCACGTAGGGTTAAGTCGTTCTCAGGACCCTTGGGTATCTTGAGCACTGCTCAAGTCGTCGACCCGGGAACTTCACCTAAGAACGTGGTTGCTAACCCTAGTGCCTTGACTACTTGGGGATGCGTCGTCTCCACGCTTAAAGCAGTCGAGCACCGAAAGTCCAAGTAGGAACCGGTCATTGGAAGGGTTACCTATAGGTGGTGTGCAAACCTTATTTTCAGCTCTTGGCCTTCGTACTTGGCCTCCTTCTCTCACCTTGTGCTCGTCGCGGTAATGTACCGGTGCACGAGAGAGTTCCAGGTCTAGGTGACCGCGGATCTCCGCGTCCCTGGTTCGCTGGAAGAGGAACCGCTGGAATGTAGTACCACTTTATCTTCAAGAGGATAGTATTACATGCCAGTAAATATTGGCTTAGGACGTTCATCATACACAGGCTTTATTGACAGATATTGTTTAAACGTCGAATGTTTGTTCGAAATAGCCTAAAGAATAACCATAAAAAATGGCATATCATGCAATTGCACCCTTTTTTTCATATGTTTAATTTAAAAAAATCCCAATGAAACATACAACCTTACAGAAGAATCACGTAAAATTGCATTTATATGATCCTCAGAAGTCTTCTAGTTTAACTGTATGGAGAATTACTTTTAAATAAACCTATCAAATTTTGAAATAGATCCACAAGCTTTTTTTTGCTTTAAAAAAAATGAAGAGGTAAAGTATGCGTAAAAGCGTGTATGAAAGTATATTTATATCAGAAAACAAGTGCCAGGATTGCTTCATGTTTGCGTTTTTTGCACCTCTCTAAACTTTTACCACATTAACTGTGCTGAACGTCGTCTCAAAAAATCCTTTCAGTCACAAATGAAGATACAGTGAACGAATGAAAAACAAAAAATTTTATTATAATATTTATAGAACCTTGTACAAGTAAACTATTCTTTAGTTGTCTAAACTATTGTTAAGTTGCGCGTGTGTCTCCTTTCAAAGTTTGTCGTGTCTTCCTGTAATTATCGCCTGGTGTCTTGATTTGATAACGCTTAAGTGCTCCTGTTTTAGGCTCGTTGTGCCTAATATTACCTTGTTCCCCTCCCGTTGATGCCCTCTTGCTGAAATAACCTTGCTGTTACCAAAGGGAGTCAGTCGATGTGCCTCGCATATTGTACGTAACACTTGCTTAATCCACATATTATGTTTTACAAGAAAAACAAGTACAACTGTTTAATTTTGTAACTTCCAATTTATTTAAGTCCTTATTTGATGACATAATTTTGAACTTCAATAGACTAAAATAAGCAATAAGAGTGCAGACTATTGAGATATAAGATAATTTTTCAATTGATTATTGTATGTTATAGATTAGGAAAGCAATCATTAAATTTACCCTACAGAGCAGTTTTTTGTATTACATTTGTAACTTCACCTGCAAACACATTTGTAAATACATTTGAAATTCCACTTGAAATTCTACTCGGAGCTGTTAGTAATTTAAAGGGGTATTTAAAGTAACAACAATTGAATTCGATTTTTTTAACGGCAAAACAAAAATTAATGTAGTGTTAAGACCCCAAAAATAAGGATTTGAGTAGTTAAAAAAAAAACAAAAATAAAGGTTAAAATAAATTTTTCCACAATTCGAGAAAAATACTTGAACCGCCTTATTTTGGTGTTACCATACACATGGTACTATCTTACAATGTCATGACACTGCATAAAATGGCTTTTTAAAACTTTTTTGCCGATAACAATAGTTTAATTTGATTGTTACTTGTAATACCACTTGAAGATAATACCACTGGTAAGAGTCTCGTCCAGCGTGCAGACGGTTAGGGGTTCTATTCTCTGTGGAAACTTTTTTTTTTTTTTTCCTAAAAAGTGGTTAAAAGAAAATAAAATAAAAGTTATAAAATTCAAACTGTGTGGTGTAGTGATGTCATATGGCATCATGTGGTGTAGAGGAAACTGGAAGTACTTCATGGGTGGCGAGGGGAAGGGGGAGAATGAAGCAAAATCCACTTCCATCACACTTTTTCTCAAGGTCAAAATTTGAAATTGTTGATTTACCCTCGCGCATAACGTTCCTATAGAAGTATAACTTCAAAAAAGTCTGAAAGGTTCGTTGACCCAAAATTTTTTACAGCATTGTTGGCATACATTGCAACAAAAGATACGTTTTCGTAAAGTTAGTTAAGTTTTATTACTATATATTTCAGAGTAATCTCATTTTTTAAGGATGGATAGAGAATTATCTAATGAGAGAATGATGTATTGTAATTTCAGTACATCTACTTTCCTCTGTGTTGGAAGTATTGATCCTGACAGAACCATAATTGGCTAATTGAATAGTATGCTTCAATGAGGTTTTCATTTACTAACTAAAACCTAATTCATTTCGTTATTGTAAACAAAAGTGTATCATCTTACTTAGTCAAACGACTAAGTTTACAACCATCCTAGTAATTTTAGGAGAGTTCTACGTGGTTATTTAACTAGGTTGGAAATGTGATGCAATAGATGGTGTACTAGTCATAATCAAAATTTGAGTCTGTACAAGGACTGTATAAAGGCGGTTATACAGCTGTACTACTGTTGTGGTGTTTCTTTAAACGTGATTATGAAACATTGCAAATTTTTTAAATTGCTATTTGTTGTTTAATTTAGGTTAGAACTAAGTCAAGATAATATTGAGTATTACTATTGTACCGTGTCTTACTACAAGGAATGTTTGATGTATTGGAAAGCAAATAGTTAGTACTAGGACTATTATTATGTCAGGCATTTATACAACATTAACCGATGGTAAAAATAGGATAATTACAATGATAGTGAGCCTTATTCTGATTATTGCTTGTAACGAAATTTTTCAATTGTATTGTGTTAACCTTTTACAAAACCAATACACTTAAAATCGATGTACACACGTAGAATTATTTATGCATATTATATATAACATCAACTGATTATAGTGGAAAAGGCGACTCAAGAAGCAAAGCTAAGTATCGAGTAAGATTTAGCGTGGAGTGGCAGTACCAGCAGGAAGTCGATAAAGAGTTGTAAACTTGTACCTTATAGCTCACTGTCGTTCTGTAACTTCACCAAAATCAAGCGAATAGACTTATGACAAATAATACCAGTTTTGTCTATTATTATAAGTGATAAAATAGTTTTATATTATTTTAAAATTGGTAAGATTCAATAAACAACAAATTTTATTCTTATTTTGAAGCACTCTATTTGTTGTTTGCTTTTGGTACCTATACATACGAATGTAGTAAGAATGACTTTTGGGCTCGTATCCTGAATTCCATCTTTTCATCCATATACTTAATACCGTTTTCTGTTTAAAAGAATACATGATATTATTGCGTGATTTATTATATCACTGATAAATCGTCAAGAATCCAACAACTGAAGCAACTACTACTCGTGAAATGGAGTCACTATTACAAGCACAAGATAAGTACACTCGTCGGGGGTGTCCAAAAACCTTTCCAAAATAGTTCGAGTTAAAATAGTAGCATTGCTAACACTAAGAATATTTCTATCTTATCCTGACTTTTTCCCAATGATCCCCTGAAGAATCATAAAACCCAAAAATCATACCTACACACAGCCCATGTTCCATGTAGAAAGAAGCCTACATAACTCTTCACTTCCTAATTTCCATAATATTATGATATCACGTAAATTTATAATTCACAAATTATTACATATTATACACGTATACATCAACCCATATTTTGGTAGTATAGCTAGCAAAGCCAAGGCCACATGAATTTTAGGAAATTCATGTGACATGTCGTAAGTTACCACAGTTTACGCAGTAAAGCTTATTTTTATTCAGCATATTCTTAGAAATTCTACAGAATATCCAGTTGATAACTTTAAACTCAACGATAGCCTAGGGTGCTAGTGACACTGGAGTTTTCTGTACGTTAACAGTTAATACATGATTTTCGTTCGTAGTTGATTAACGAAATGCACTACCATTTGACAGCTGCCCGAAAAAATAAAAGTTTGTCTGTACTCTCCAACTTAGTTGAAACAAAATGATAAAGTTATTTATTTTATTAAGTTCATTTACTATTTAAATGAAATTTATTTCATTCAAACTTCTTATTTCATTCAAACTTTTTCTTTCCAGAGCCAAATTTCGTTGGTTCCTTTGACATTGGTGAGCATGTTTTCTTTTTCTTTCGAGAAACTGCTGTAGAATATATCAACTGTGGCAAAAGTATTTATTCTCGAGTTGCACGAGTTTGTAAAAGAGATACTGGAGGAAAAAACATTCTGTCACAAAATTGGGCAACATATCTGAAGGCTAGATTGAATTGTTCTATCGCTGGCGAGTTTCCTTTTTATTTTAACGAGATTCGTAAGTACGTTTTTTTCACTGTTAATAATATATATACCATCTATAGCGTACATACAGCTGGCTGTTTGTTATAAACTCTGGCCTAAGTAAAAAAAAAAAACAAATTTTTAGGCATGTAAGTATTAAATACGTCATTTTACTAGATTTATAAGTAACTAAATTTAAGTTGATAGTGTGGATTAATATAAATAATTACATGAACTCACACAAAATTGTAACTTGTTTAAGCATTGTAACTTTAACTTCATATTTTAAAACTAGTAGGTATACCATTTTATTTCAGAGATTAAGAGTGTTGTAAGATTTTAACACTAGTATTGGTTCCAATACAAATTTGTTTACAAGTCCTTATAACTGTATGATAAATGTTTAAATCCAGATGAGTAAAGCATTATACTGTTGTAATTTGTAAAAATAATAAATTCTTGATAAAAAAGGGGTCAACAAGTATAATTTTTAAAAAGTTTCTTAGTTAACTGAGAAAGTAAAATTCTCTCTTTAAACTCTCAAAACGTTATTTCCTGATGACAGCAGAGGTTTCAAAATTTAAATTATTAATCAAAAATATCACGTTACATGTAAAACATAATTACTGCATTGGAAATGTTTTTTTCTAAAAATAATGTTTTTGTCAACTTACACTGATAACTGTTAAAAAATAAATTTAATTCATTTTTGTAAATTTGTTAGCCTTAGTTTGAATAATTCACATTTACTTAATCTTAATCATATTAAGAATGTGAAGTGCCAGGGGACATTACAATGAAAAATGTATTTATTACTTCCTAATAACATTTGTACTGTTCACGTAACAAACGATATTTGATTATTATTCATCTTCTACCCCCCACCCAAGCCCCTTAAAATACTTTGTTATTCGTTTGTTTACTGGCTGTTTTTTAAATGATATAATATTTCCCTTTATCCTTCTTGATCCTGCCTCCTCCTTTACAGATTCTACACCCATTTCTCACTTCTACTTCTCAATTTCCACTTATATATTTAACAATTTAACCATTTTTTGTCAAAATTTTTCTGCAAAGTGAATTCAGTTTCCTCGAGGTTAGTTTAATCGTTTAAGAATGAATTGCATGTGCAGTTTTATCAGGGATCCAGTTCACTTCGCTGTGCTTAATAGCTTAGAAAATTATTGCGTTTTGTTTGGTAGTTGACTTTCATGGATTTAATTAGACCAATCAATCCGAGTGTTGTACAAGAGACTTAGATATTTTCTTAAAGAAGTCTCAAACTCGTATGATATGCATTCGATTGTTTTTTCTGAATTGTTTTCATTTCCATGAATAATAAAATTTTATTTTATAGTTAATACAATTTCATAAGTATACATGTATTTTTAGTGCAAGTGACTTCTGCAGACCTAAAGTGCTTCTAACATACATGTTGATTACATAGTAGAATTATGTGGACGTCTGCATTACTACTCCCCTCCATGCATATAATTGTTTACATAAGTTTCTTGCAATAATATATTTTATATTCATGTATTTAGCCGTAAAAAGGGTCATTAAAGGGACTTTACTGCATCCTTCGCACCCCCTTCTCACCACCATTTAAATAATTTTTGAGAATAATAAATATTTAAATGTAATTTCCATTATTTTTAAGATTTTTTAATTTTTTCATCGCCCCTTAACCTCCCCTCCCTTATGGTTTTAAACAGACTTCTTGCCTTTTCTCAATTCCGTTTATAAAAATACAACTCGATTACTATGTAAATTGCTTAAGATTAAGAAAATGGTATCTAAACGTGTCTCAAAATTGAGGAGAAGGTGTTTAAATGTTTAATTCTGTATATCCATAAGTATTTTATGATTTTTAGAAAGAAAATGTGAAAATTTTAAATAAGTAACAAGAATCATAAAGTAATTAATTCGTAAGTTTAACTTAAACATAGAAAAAAAATTATTTCCGAAGTAACAAAATTAGATGAATCCATAAATAACTGGGAAACTCTTGTAATAGTTTGTTTAAAATTAAATTATGTTATTTATTTAGCAAAAAAAAAAAAATATAACGTTTCAACAACAAAATAAAAAAGTATAAATGGTGATAAGAAATAAGAATAAGAACAGTAGGTAGATGGGATATTATTTATTTAAAACACTAGGAGAGTTTTTTTATCAACATTAAGTAAAGAGGTACTTTAAATTAAAAAAAAAATACGTTAAAAATATTTTTAAGATATTACTTACTACCCATGAAAAAATTAAAATAAAATTGCAATGAGCATGGGTTTTATACAGCACGATTTTTCAAATGATAAGAGTTGTAAAGCAACATATACTGTTACGAGACCATTTTACTTAATTTTTTACATAGCTTTAACTTTCAGACAATATTCTAGGTAATGTAATTTAGAATAAATATATGATTATAACTTTCTTAAAAAATTTTTAAATAAGAAAGAATATAATGCATTTATTTAGTTAAACAAGATTTTTGAGTCAGAGAATAAGACGCGTAATAGATTTAATTTACCTATACCTGTAAAAAATCGTAAAGAAGCAAATAATTGTACAAGTCATTAAATATGTGACAAGGAACATAAAATCATTTTTATCGGTGGTGTAGGTGGTGCAAGTAAGACATTTTTGTACAGAATTTGAGTTTATTATTTTATTTCAACTAAAAAAAGTTTTTCTTGTGGCTTTGACAGGTATTGCCTTAAAATTACCTCTTGAGGAAATGACAAGCCAAAAAAATTCTGAGTTACTATAAGACATAGACAATGTTGAAAGTAGATTCTTAAAACATTAATTTAAAAAAATGAGCTTAGATGATTGAATTATAAGGGGTAAATCTTTAATGATCGCAAACATAGCATTATAAATAGTAAATAATTGATACACAACAACACTTTAAGGAGGTTAGAGCAACAAATGATTTTCTCACAACAGTCTTCAGAAAACTATCGTGTGTTTATTTTCATTATGATAGTAACATATCAAAATTTTAGAAACCATAGCGTCACAGTTTAAAAAAAGAAGCAAACTTAGGATCTTATGTGCAGGTGTTACGTTATGCAAGGCATATCGTATTGACTCCCCAAGGTAACAGCAAAGCTAGCTTACCAAGAGGTCACTGACGTGAAGAGTATAAAGGTAATATAAGGCCCAGCGAGCCTTAAATCACGGTAGCAAAGCATTAACAAGAGGGTCGGATGTTACCAGGATACTCTATCGTTATCAAATCAAGACACTGAGTGATTATTACGGGGAGAACACGATGAATCTAGAACGGAAGCACACGCAATTTACCAGAAGCACTCAGGAAATGTTAAAGGGGACAATCTCGAAAGCTTGGATAATGCAGTGAAAAGGTTATTTAATAAAGGAAAAAGTTATGATAAAAGAAACAATGTATTTTGTAAGACACGAAGAGGAGCTAGAGATACAAAAATTGGTCAACAAGATAATGCAACTTGTAGACACAGCCAGTTGCAACCGTAAATAAATAGAATATGTGAGAAGACTGGTCAAATCAAAACGTTACGTTTTTGGCCTTGACGAAGAATTTTTCAAGGCAACACTTCTGTTGAAGCATTAAATCAAAACAACATTGGATAGGCCCATCGTGGCAAAATGATATAGACATCTACTGGCAATAAAGGATCAAATCAAAGTTGAAAAGAAGAAAATGCTCAAACAAGGGATTATTGTAAACTCTACCTATATATATATATATATATATATGTATATGTATAGCTCGAACACCTGGATAGAAGTAAAACAATTAAGGCTAAATAATAATAAAAAGGTTAGAGTAACCACATATTATTGATTACTTAATGGAGTAACAATAGGCTCATGTTACCCACTACCGTTTAAGAGTGATATCTTAGAGATCCTAGCGTCAGCACGTTACATTACGGTAGTGGATCTCAAATCAAGATTCTACGAGGTGGAAACACATGAAGACGATACACATAAGACAGCATTTTTGGGCCCAGACAGGCACTACCAATACAAATGGATGCCAATGGGATGCGAGGATTCCCCAAACACATTTCTATCTCACTAGCACTTGCAGGATTACAAGGCAATATAATGAAGTATATCTTGATGACATAATGGTTTTTACCCCTGACCTTATGATACAGGACAGATAAATTATTTAGCTGTTAAAACAGCCGGTAGCTGCGAATCTAACAATTAAATCTAAAAAGTGTCAGTTCCTTAAAGAAGAAACGAAAGTGCTCGTTCACATTGTAGGCAATGGACAAATAATAACTAAACCAAACGAAACTTGAGGCTGCCAACAACTACTCTACACTAACAAACGTAATGAAAGTAAGATAGTTTCTGGGATTCGTAGGCAACTGCAGGTGATTTGTCTAAAATTATGTACTAATTTCCTAACCATTATCAAGACTCTTAAAAGTGGGCCCTGCACTTAAACGAGGCCGTAAAAAAGAACAAGCTTTCAAAATCCTTGTGAATACACTACGCAGTGGACCTGTACTCATTACCCCAGATTAAAAAAAACCCTTTATCTTCACGACAGACGCATCAGATTACGCGGTTGGAGCGATTCGTTAACGGTATAGACGTGAGTATCTATTATTAATATTTATAAACAGTGGCCCCACAATGTAATTTATAAAAATTGTTGTGTTTTTTGTTTTTGTTTTCTTTGTTAATAAAGTGAGACTGATGAGGTTGGCCTTAAGACTAATGGAACGTTGTTCAAACTAATACCTCATTTTTGGGAGTTTTCATTCGTACTCCCAAAATTAGCTCTTACTGATCGTGTGCTTAGGCTCTGACCCTCAAGTCATCATGGAAACAACTGAGAGCAGAATGACATGTTCAACAAACGACATAATTTAGTAATGATTGACATTAAAAAGTGAGATGTAGAAGGCAGACCCGAATTAAAGAAAGATACTATGTGGGAGCCTATCACGATAACAGCAATAGGAGAACTAGTGCGATATACAAGAAAAAAAGTAAAAAAAACGTACATAACGGGGGAGTATG